TTAATTTGTATTCATTTCTAATTCTATTCTTTCTATTCTATTCTAGAGCCGTGGTGGTGCAGTAGTTAGAATATACTACCATTTCATCTTAAAAATTTCCAGTGTTGGAGCATCCACAACTTCTGGAGGCAGGTTGTTCCACTGGTTAATTCTCCTCATTGTCAGGAAATTTCTCCTTAGTTCCAGTTTATCTAGTTTTTTCTTCTGGTTTATCTAAAGGGCATAAAATACCAGGAGCAATGCTGTTGGCATGATCTGCATCCTTACTCTAAAGGAGGACAACCTTAAAAAAAGGCCCGTTGGCCAAACATCCAAATTTGGATCCCGTGGCCACGGGGATGCTGCAATGTGTATAAGTGTGAAAACCGGTCATGTCACTTTTTTCAGTGCCTTTGAACGGTCACTATACTAATGGTTATAAGTCAAGGACTATCTGTACTGTACATAAACATCGGAGCAAATCCCACACTCACGAGTACTGATGACGTTCCCTAGTTGGGTCATGAAACGTCTGCAAGTAAACCACCAAGCTGAGAGAGCACCAAGGACCCCACAATCCTCCTCCTCCTCCTCCTCCTCTTCCTTCTCCTCCTCTTCCTCCTCCTCCTCCTCCAAGCCCACACTCCCTTCTAGCATTGATGATGTTACCTAGTTGAGTCATGAAACGTCTACAAGAAAACCACCAAGCTCAGAGAGCACCAAGCAGCCCAGTCATTGTCCTCCTCCTCCTCCTCCTCTCCTCCTCCTCCTCTAACCCCACATTCCCTTCTAACACTGATGATGTTACCTAGTTGGGTCATGAAACGTCTACAAGAAAACCACCAAGCTGAGAGAGCACCAAGGACCCCGCAGTTCAACCTTGAGCTACAAATATTCTCTTTTATTGATATTCACATTTATGCAAAAAAAAAAGGGGGGGGATAGAGCAGGGGTATCAAACTGCCGGCCCACCGACCGGATGCGTCATGCCGAAACCGCGCCCATCCCAGCTCCGGCAATGGGAAAAAAGTCACGATACGTTGCGACACGTCACGTGACATGGCGAGTTTGACACCCCTGGGATAGAGGGAAAAATAAAAGGAAGGTGTAGGAATCACTCCATTAGGCATTGAATAAGCACAATAAAACCTTTATTAAAACTTGCGTACTGCAGACCATTCATGATTAGATTCAGGGAGTTGCTAACAACAGCCGAGCACTCTTCACACCGTGGGAAAACTAGCATCAGAAACCAAGAAGAAATACATTTGATTTAAACTAGGAGTCTTCAAACTTGGCCCTTTGATGACTTGTGGACTTCAGCTCCCAGAATTCCTCAGCCAGGCACACGTGCCTGGCTGAGGAATTCTGGGAGTTGAAGTCCACAAGTCATCAAAGGGCCAGGTTTGAAGACCCCTGATTTAAACTTTTAACCCAATCTGGGGCAACGATGCCAGCAAGGGACAGCTCAGTTGGAAAGGTCGAAACTCCGAGGCGGAGAAGATTTGGCGTGAAACGACGCTGGATCAGTTACATAGTTGGGTAACAAGCTTGATTGGCTACCCCACAATGGTTATTCATTCCTTTCACCAATCGCATGTAGCCGTGCTCGCCCCACTTCTCGGACCAGCTGGGAAAGAGAAGAAAGGAAGAAAGGGGGATTAATAGGTGGACAATTGATGGTGTGTGACAAAACTGGCTCTTTGTTAGAAATCCTGTTTATATAAAGTATTACACAGAGCAAACAACGAGAACAGTCATCATGTGCCTAACTGCTCAACTATATAACTGTAATAGGAAATAGGAAACTCTACTTAGAACAAAAGAACATAGAGTATATACACTATATACCAGGGGGTCTTCAAACTTGGCTCTTTTATGACTTGCGAACTTCAACTCCCAGAATTCCTCAGCCAGCATGGAGGAACTATGGCCCCTTCATGACTTGCGGACTTCAACTCCCAGAATTCCTCAGCCAGCATGGGGGAACTGTGGCCCCTTCATGACTTGGAGACTTCAACTCCCAGAATTCCTCAGCCAGCATGAGGGAACTATGGCCCATTTCATGACTTGCGGACTTCAACTCCCAGAATTCCTCAGCCAGCATGGGGGAACTGTGGCCCCTTCATGATTTGGAGACTTCAACTCCCAGAATACCTCAGCCAGCATGAGGGAACTATGGCCCATTTCATGACTTGCGGACTTCAACTCCCAGAATTCCTCAGCCAGTGTGACTGGCTGAGGAATTCTGGGAGTTTAAGTCCACAAGTCATAAAAGGGCCAAGTTTGAAGACCCCTGCTATATACCATATAGATCCAAGCTTGTAAATTCTGCCATCTACTGGCTGAATACTATTGTAGTTGTTGCCTAAAAATACGTTCCAACAATGAATTCAGACCCTCTTGAACCCTTGACAGATCAAGAGGTTTGCCTGTATCCCTTCTACAGCTGGCCCAGATCCTCTGTGTTGCCAAGAATGAACTGCTTTAAGCAGAGTTTGCTCTGCTTAAGGCCCCAGGGTAGAAAGTGGGAGATTGGGAGATCTAGTCGTGCCTTAGGCATGAAAGCTGGCTGGGTGACCTTGGGCCAACACCAGGAGACAGTGAGTTCTAGTCCGTCCTTAGATATAAAACAGCTGGGTGATCTTGGGCCAATCACCAGGAGACGGTGACTTCTAGTCCGGCCCTAGGTATAAAACAGCTGGGTGATCTTGGGCCAATCACTAGGAGACGGTGAGTTCTACTCCTGCCTTAGGTATAAAAGTGGCTGGGTGACTTTGGGTCAATCATCAGGAGACGGTGAGTTCTGGTTCCACCTTAGGCATAAAAAGCCAGCTGGGGCAACCTTACCAAGGCTGAGAAACCCTGTTCTAACAAATAGCCCCTCACACTTTCTTAGCTAAACCTGATGATAAAATAAATGAGATTTAACTTTGACCCAGGAACTGATTGTCAATGCCCTTCTTCTTCATCCTGTGCCATTTCCTCTTTAATCACCTGTTCTTTAGGATCCAGTAATCGGTGGTCTTCTTACCCTCCTGCTCAGTGCCGTAGCCCACGGCCAGCATGGCGTGGCTGACATTGTGGGTGCACCAGCTGCTTGCAAAGATACCTGGGCAGAGAAGAACAGAACACACACAGAGAGAGATATGGCCCTCAAATCGTACTAGCAGGAGATCTCTTAAACTTCTGTGCTTGTGTATGTACACATATATACACGCACACTCCACCCCCAAAGTTGCTTTTTTTTTCTTCCATAGACATTCACCCACTCCCCTATCGCCATCAGCCCTGAATGCTCTGTGTGTCCAACCAAAGAAATATGGGTTGATCTTCAGCAGGCTAGCCTTGTTTTAATATTTTGATTTTATGATTGAGGGGTCCCTGGTGCTCTCTGAACATGGCTGTTTTCTTGCAGACATTTCATGACCCAACTAGGTAACATCATCAGTGCTAGAAGGGAGTGGGGTTTTCTCTCTGTTAATATACAAGTGATTTGCCTTCTCAGTGTTGGTGTGAGGATTCTTTGATTAGATAGATAAATATAGATGATAGATAGATAGATAGATAGATAGATAGATAGATAGATAGGTAGGTAGGTAGGTAGGTAGGTAGGTAGGTAGGTAGGTAGGTAGGTAGGTAGGTAGGTAGATAGATAGATAGATAGATAGATAAGATAGATGATAGATAAGTTAGATGATGATAGATAGATAGATAGATAGATAGATAGATAGATAAGATAGATGATAAGATAGATAGATAGATAAATGATAGATGATAGATAAGATACATTGATAGATAGATGATAGATAGATGATACAATAGATAGATAATTGATTGATGATACGATAGATAGATAGATAGATATACAGTAGATAGATAGAGCGATATAGATAGATAATTGATGATTAGATAGATAGATAGATAGATAGATAGATAGATAGATAGATAGATAGATAGATAGATAGATAGATAGATAGATAGATAGATAGATAGATGGAGAGAGAGAGAGAGAGAGACTGACTAACTGACTGACTGACTGATGTGGAGTCCTTGACATTCTCTGAGCTTGGCTGTTTCCTTGCAGACATTTCATGACCCAACTAGGTAACATCATCAGTGCTAGAAGGGAGTCAGTGGGGTTTGCTCTCTGTTTACATACAGGTGGCTTGCCCTGTCAGCATTGGGTGGGGTGGCCTTGATTAGGCTATTGTTTCCTGTTTGATTGTTGGTCTGAATTGGTTGTTCCTTGATTGAGAATTTGTTTACCGCTTGATGGTTGATCTAGTGTTAAACTTATTTACTCTATTTTTATTTACTGTTAGACTTCTATGCCAAGACTTCTACGCTAGGCAGCTTACTGTCATGCAATTAAAACACCAAATAAAACATTACACGATGAATGTTAAATCTTGGTGTTGTCTTTGGTTATCTAGGGGTTGTTTGCTGGTGAGGAGGCGTTTTGATCTTTTTTGTTTCCTTTATGGCTTTTTGATGTCTGTTTTGCCACTAGTATACTGTATAAACAGACAGCAAACCCCATTCCTTTGTAGCACTGATGATGTTACCTAATTGGGTCGTGAAACGTCTGCAAGGAAAAAAAAACCCCAATGGTATGTAAATATAAGCAGAGAGCAAACCTCACTCCCTTCTAGAACTGAAGATTTTACCCAAACCCAATAGAGGCCATCCTTGTTCCAGCAAGCAAAATTGGCACCAGTGACTTGGCCATTAAGCGGAGCAGTCGCTAAATGAAAGGGTCCTGTGCTCACGATCCGACTTTCTTTTGCTTTAAAGAGCCACGAAGCTCTTCAAGGCAAGGATGGCTCGCAACGTGACTTTTTTCATGAGTAACGGTGAACGGTCATTGTCTGAAGCAGTCACTAAATGAGGACTGCCTTTATTTAGCCCACAGATCTATCTTACAGCCATCAGATTACTCTACAGCAGGGGTCTTCAAACGTGGCCCTTTTATGACTTGTGGACTTCAACTCCCAGAATTCCTCAGCCAGGCACATTTAAATTTACATTTTTATCATCCTCCAGAAAGGAAAAACACAAGATAGTCCAGGCACATAGGAATATCCTGAGGTAAATCAAATGGTATACAGAACACACAGAGGAAAAAAGGCGGGAAAAAAGGGAAACGCCCCCTTCATACCCACAGCAACCAATCAGAGTGTAGATTGCCTCATGCATGAGTCAGCACTCTCTAATTCAGAGGTCTTCAAACTTGGCCCTTTTATGACTTGTGGACTTCAACTCCCAGAATTCCTCAGCCAATTCCTGCTCAGGCACGTGTGCCTGGCTGAGGAATTCTGGGAGTTGAAGTCCACAAGTCATAAAAGGGCCAGGTTTGAAGACCCCCTGCTCTAGAGATCCTCAATTGCCTCAATTCTCCTTACCCGACTTATAGAAATGGAACTGGAAACTCTTAGCGTCCACACCCAAGGATACTGGCCCCATCGTGGCCACAGCTTGCTCCAGGGCCGCCTCGTTCTGTGACTGAATCCGCACTAAGGACGTGCAGTTGCCCACCCGGGTTTTTGGGTTGTAGTGACATTTGAACTCGTCCTGCAGAGATGGGACAGGGAGACGCAGGGGAAGTTTAGCAGCCTTTTTTGAGACTGGCCCATAGAACATAGAATCAGGGCTGGACGGGACCCTGGAGGTCTTCTAGTCCAACCCCCTGCTCAAACAAAAGACCCTATACCATTTCAGACAAATGGCTGTCCAGTCTCTTCTTAAAAACCTTTTAATTATAGTAAGTAGCATACTGTTCATTGTGTAATCAACAAAAATGGCCAGTAAATAGAGGAATAATAACCACAGTCTTGGGGGGGGGGGGTCCTTGGTGATCTCTGAGCTTGGTTCTTTTGTTGCAGACATTTCATGACCCAACTAGGTAACATCATCAGTGCTGGAAGGGGGTGGGTTTCTTCCAAATAGAGTAGAGTAGAGTAGAGTAGAGTAGAGTAGAGTAGAGTAGAGTAGAGTAGAGTAGAGTAGAGTGGAGTGGAATGGAATGGAATGGAATGGAATAGAAATAGGAATGGAATGGAATAGACTAGAATAGAATAGAATAGAATAGAATAGAATAGAATAGAATAGAATAGAATAGAATAGAATAGAATATGGAATGGAATAGAATATGGAATGGAATAGAATATGGAATAGAATAGAATAGAATAGAATAGAATAGAATAGAATAGAATAGAATAGAATAGAATAGCAGAGTTGGAAGGGACCATGGAGGTCTTCTAATCCAACCTCCTGCTCAGGCAGGAGACCCTATACCATTTCAGTCAAATTGTTGTCCAATCTCTTCTTAAAAACCTCCAGTGTTGGAACACCCACAATTTCTGGAGGCAAGGAGTTCCACTGATTAATTGTTCTCACTGTCAGGAAATTTCTCCTTAGTTCCAGGTTGCTTCTCTCCTTGATCAGTTTCCATCCGTTGCTTCTTGTCCTGCCTTCAGGTGCTTTGGAGAATAGCTTGACTCCCTCTTCTTTGGGGCAACCCCTGAGATATTAGAACGCTGCTATCCTGTCACCCCTCATCCTTCTCTTCATTAAGGAGGAGCTTAATGAAAAGAGCTTCGTTTCATTCTTTTCGTTCTTAGCACTGATGACGTTACCTAGTCGGGTCATGAGACGTCTGCAAGAAAAGAACCCAGCTCAGAGGGCACCAAGGACCCCACAGCTCCACTCTGAGCCACAAAGATTCTCTTCCGTCGGTCGATCACGCCTTGCCCATGTCCACCTCGTCTCCCTCTCTCACCTTCTCCCGGTAAGGATAATCCTGCTCCGAATTGATGCCTCTGTTGTCCCGAACGTACTCAAAGGCGTGGCTGACGTAGCCCCCGTGACAGCCCTTGTTGCCCAGCTTCCAGGAGCAGTCCATGAGGTTCTGCTCGCTCAGGGGGACCAGCTTGCCGGTCTTTTTGAAGAGCAGCCCCTCCAGAGCCCCCGTGGCACTGAAGGCCCAGCAGGAGCCACAGTGTCCCTGTGTGGAGAGGAAGAGGCTGGGAGGAGCTCTGCAGAGCGGGAGGCCAAAGCTGGTTGTCTCGGTTCGGTATTTAATTGAGGAGGAGGAGAAGGAGGAGAAGGAGAAGGAGGGGAAGGGGAAGGAGGAGAAGGAGAAGGAAGAAAAGGAGGAGGGGAAAGAGAGGTAGAGAGGGAGAAGGAGGAGAAATGGGAGAGGAGAAGAAATGGAGGAGAAGGAGAAGGAGGAGAAGGAAAAGGAGAAGAAGGAAGAGAAGGGGAAGGGAAAGGGGAAGGGAAAGGGGAAGGAGAGGGAGAGGGAGAGAGGGAAGAGGAGGAGAAATGGGAGAGGAGAAGAAATGGAGAAGGAGGAGAAGGAGAAGAAGGGGAAAGGAGAAGGAGAGGGAGAGGAAGAGAGGGAAGAGGAGGAGAAATGGGAGGAGAAGAAATGGAGAAGAAGGAGAAGGAGGAGAAGAGGAGAATGGGATGGGGTGGGGAGGGAATAGGAAGGGGAAGGAGAAGGGGTAGAGAGGGAGGAGAAATGGGAGAGGAGAAGAAATGGAGGAGAAGGAGAAGAAGGGGAAAGGAGAAGGAGAGGGAGAGGGAGAGAGGGAGGAGGAGGAGAAATGGGAGAGGAGAAGAAATGGAGAAGAAGGAGAAGGAGGGGAAGGAGGAGGAGGAGAAGAGAA